GAGAGAGAGAGAGAGAGAGAGAGAGAGAGAGAGAGAGAGAGAGATTAAAAAAAAATTCCAGGCTTCAGGCTGGCCTCGGGAGAGCACTCACGTCACTCAGGGCCACACTGCCTACAAGATACAAGGAACCAACAGCCTAGAGCAGCGACAGTGGTGACTGGTGCTCAGGAAGTTATGCCTGAGTGTCCGTTACCTCTTTCTCTGTAACGGACTCTGGTCGCCGCCATATTCAGGAAACGTTAAGGGGAGTGCTCGCTCCAGCGTCCTCCGAGCTCGCTCAGGCATCCTCGCGCCTTCTTTATCTGAGCGGGTGCACAACGGACCGAGGCAGGGAGGCGGGGGAGGCAAGGAGCTCGCGCTAGAACTCCAGTAACATGCGCAAAGAAGAGCTCTGGGGTGAAACATAGAGCTTTGCAGCAGAGAAGAGCGTGCAAGTGGAGCCCCGCCCCTAAGCCCCGCCTCCTCCATGGACAGTGTAGCCTCCTTCCTTAAAACCAAGGATTACAAACCTTCCACCCATGCACTTAGCATCCTCACCGAAAACTGTTGAAAGGGTCTGGCTCCTTCTGGACCCAACACTTTGGATGACATTTGTCTCCTTTGCACCTTTCAAAGAAGACCATGTCCTCCGCCCATACTTTCTGAAAGCTCCATTAAGGAACACTTCTAGGCGGGAGGTGGGGGGGGAGGGGTGTGATTCAGACCCAGGAGACACTGTGAGACATGTTTTGCGCAGACTCTGCCTCTAGGGTCCTTCCTAAGACGTCCAATAAATGTCGGTTCACAAACGTTTCCTGTGAAATTTGTCATAATACCTTTAATTGAGACTTGATAGTCCGGGTGCCCCTAAATCCTCTGTTTCTTTCCCAGACCTCTGTCACAGCACGAGAAGTCTCTACCAGGGAAGGGGGCTCATGCTCTCCGGGTTCTCAGTCAGCGTCCCCACTCAACCATTTCCTAGCCACCCTTCTTGTCACAAGGCAAAATGAGCCTACTGCCTCCCAGCAATATGACACCAATAAGATGAGACACACATTATCAAAATGGGAACCAGACAAGTTTTGTTTAAAAAGGTGCTACAACCCACAGACAGAAGGGCACCCGCTGCTTCAGCCAGCGCAGTATCATCAGAAAATCTCACAAATCAAGTGCTGAACCTCTACGACTGTACCTGCCATGCTCCACCTTACTCACGCTCAGAACAAACATGAACCTGTAACAGAGCAAAATTATCTAACGCCTTTCTCTTCACGATAAAGTATCAAATATTTCATGCTACTCAAAACCTGTGCTTGGTGTCTTTGCATCAGATAAGTCTCAAAAACTCCCAATATGCAAATTGCAAATGACTCACAGCAGTGTAGAACATCTGCAGCTTCCACCCCGGGGCTCCTATCCAACATGCATTGTGACAGCATTTCTAGTCTGTCCAAAGATGAAGCTACAAAATGCAAGCATGATTTGCTGTGAATGCTTTTTGTTTTAGCATCCTGACATTAACAATTGGTAAGGCGAATTCTATTACATCAGAGATGGTCTTTTCCTGCAACAAAAGAAAACATGATTCCAGGGACACCAGCATATAAAAAAACAGGAAGATGGAAGCCTACAGCTAGTGAATCTGGGATCATATTGGAACTAGGAATAAGGTGAGCACACGCACACAGGTAGTGAGTGTCTATGCCTGGAAAATCAGGAACCGAGGAATGTTAAGCTCCTTCATCTTGGAGTAGGAGAGTAATTTCTCTCTTCTTATCCCTCACATTTAATTCTGTTCCCATCGAGAGGCTCAGGAGAGTCAATCTGACACATAAGCCTACACATTTTTTTTGGCAGTAACCAGATTTTTAGTTGTGTTGTAATGTCTGTTTGCAATAAAAAAAAAAAAAAAGACTCAATACGAGAAGTGATTTCAGCTCTGAGTGCTGTGGGCTACATGCTGGGTGGTGTCTTCGTGGGCTGGGGCTTCTAGCAAAGAGGACGATGGGTGAGACTATCAGGCCGCCGGGCACAGACATCCCAGCACTGCGCTGGTCGGGCACAGAAGGACTGCTCTGGAAGAATGGTACGCACATGGCAAGAAGAGCTATGGACCTCCCAAGGTCACGTTTTCAAACACCTCGCCCTCCTGTTACTTAGATCCTCTGTATTTGTCTGAATATATGTTCTAATTTGTTCTGAGTGAGTACAGACATTGTAAAACTGTTCAGGAGCCTCCCCTCTGTCAGAGGGATGCAGGCAGGACTCAGGATGGAGGGAATAAAACAAGGTCTACTGAAGAAGAAATGAAGGAAAGAGGGCATGAGTGGCCCCACTGTTCTGTGATATAAGAAAAAAAAATTAATTTTACCTAGAGGCAAACAGCAAGCATGTGCAGTCACCTCCAACAAGTATGCATCGTTTGAACGGACCCCAAGGTTCCGATGCACCTGCCACAAGCCCTCTCGGAATGTTCCCCCAGCCCTGTTTTCCTCTGCCCCTCCCCCACTTCAGAATGTTATACGCCACATTCTGGAGCTGTTTACTTTCAAACTTTTCTCAGCTCTGGCTGGCTCTCTTGAGCATCTGCCACGTATTGGTGACTGTCTGTGTGATTTACCTGAATCCTCTCACCATGGAGCCTAGCAGACAGGCATGGTTGCTGTCCAAGCCTGTAGGAATAGCTTCAGAAGGTAAGCCTGCAATATCAGGGTGTGGGGCCTGACTCCCCCTGCCACAGGCAATTCAAATTTGATGCCAGCAATGACCGACTGGACCAAGGAAGAGAGGGTAGACAACTCTGGACTTCTAAAGGACATCTCACCTGGGAGGCTGACGAAGCTTTTAGCAGAATGGACAAAGCCTGCAATGGAATGAGGTTGCCACAAGGAGACACACAGGATCAGGAGAAACCATAAGAAGACCTGGACTGGTTCTTGCTGTATGGGAGACAGGTGCCCCGAGCACAGTTCAGCGGCGTAGTGCGATAGTCTCTGGGTCGTTTCTCCAGGTTGCCGGAACTTGCTCTATGAAGTTATAGATCCCAAGAATGTAACTGGACCACCCAAGACCTTAGAAGGACAGTGCAGACAAATGGCTAGGCAGGAAACAGCTCAGTGGGCCCTGTCCGTGGGGGTGGAGGTTACCCCATCAACTGGCAGTCCAGAGTCCTTCCCACCCAGGGGAGGCTTCTCTTGTACCAGTTGGTTTGTTGGTGTCTTTGAGGCAGAGCAGTTGGGGAACATCAGCTAACAAAACGGGGGCTTGTTCTGAATTTTCAGACCCACATTTTAAGTATCAGTTTAGAGGTGTTGTCTTGGGACTATTGTGCAGTTCCGTTAGCCTGTCATTTAACAGTGATGGGAAGCCTCTCTTCCGACGCTGCTTTGACAAGAGTAAAGGGATGCAGCGTGCAGCTGGTTTTAGTGGGTTCTCAGGTGGTTGGCTTCCTTTTCCAGGGGCTTTGGAGAGAAGTGTTTGTCTTGGAACTTATTCTACTGTTGCTGTTAAGGTTAAGACACCTAGAACACGTGTCCTGGTCATCACGTGCAGGCCCACTAAACTTGGCTCTCTTTGATGGGGTCCTCATGAGTTCCCACTGAACTTTAAATAACTGCACCCCACTTGGCCCCTGGCTCAGAACTGTATTCCTGCCTCCCCCCCCACACACACACTCATTCCTTTATATTGGTGAGAGCTCAGACGACGAATAGGACCTAATGTGGTTCTCATTTCATGGTCAATTGTGACAATGCCAGTAGCAGTGATAATCCCAAGAAACCTCCCAACAGGCCCTCCACTCACCATTCCCTGGCCTTTACAGCCTTCCACAGCCACTGCCCGGCTTGCAAGGACAGGGTGTCAGGGAACCAGGTGGCTGTCTTACACACCAGTGCTGTGGGAACAGCTCCCAACATGGGGGGGACCAATGATGTTAGGCAGTGAGGGGCTGCTGAGTCTATCCCATCGCTGTTTCCTGTGGGAAGTATGAGGAGAGGGAGCAGTAGCATGGGTAGGGCCTGCTTCAGGGTCCCCTCCGGGATTGCAGGGTGCTGGCTTGGAGGATCGCTCGGTGGTGCTTTTGGTTTGTTGTGATGGATTAGAAAGGGATAGGGGATATTTGAGGGTGGAAAAGGAACACTCAGAAGGGGATAAGGTCAAAATATTTGAAACCTGCCACCTTCACAGAGGCCTTTCTAGACACTGGACCTCATCGACAGTACCTTGCCTCCTGTGAGCGTCAGTGCTGGGACAGTGTCCAGGGAGAGTCAAACTGACCTATTTCTGGGAAGAGAGCTAGAACACTGATGAAGTTTCTGCCAGGCATTCTTGAAAGAGCCTCTCGGAGGTGAAAGCTGAGGGTTCCTCTCCACAGACAGCAGTCAGGGAAGCTTGGTGAATGGGGAGGAAGATCCCTGCTGGAACCATGCTCAACCAGATGAACTTGGCGGGGCATTCACTCAGGGACATCTGCATACTGTACACTCTCCTCTTCCCAGTCTCCCTGGCTGCTGGGCTCAGAGAGCCGTCCTCCTGTGCCCTTTCACCTCTCCTATCCTTTCCCTCCTTTCTCTTCACAGCATCTTCACTGGGACAGAACATGAGCGTCAACCCTGGTGCCTCCATGCCTACATTTGCAACCCTGCCTGTTCTCCCACCTGCCCCCCAACCAGCAACCCAGTTATTTTGGGAGCCCCCGGCACCCCTTGTGACTACAGGCATCTCTCCCAGGAATCCTTTAGTGCTATCTGCCTTGCCTGGGATGTCTTTGGTGGCAGAAGATGGAAGCACTGCCCTGAGCACAGCTGTCCCTCTGAACATTGTACAGGTTGGGGCCCCAGGCAGGCCTGTGCACAATGCCAACATTGTCCTCACTCAGGTGCCCCTCAACTGTAATGTCCCCGGGACCCAAGGTGGCAGCATGGGGCGCCCTGCTTCACTCTTTATGACAACACCTGCTGCTAACACCTTCATTAATGCCCGAATTGCTTCAGCTGTCCAGCCCCAAGAAGGAACATGGGTCCTGGGACCTCGCCCTCCCACCACACAGCCAGTTGTCCAGCTGGTTCCTGTCAGGTCCCCAGTGAACTCAGCACCACCTCCAAAAGGAGCACACGGAGAGAGTGGCCCAGCCAACGTCCAAACCAGCTCTCCGGACAACTACTTGTCCAAACCAGACAGCGTCTATGGGAACTTCCGTCGCTGGCAGCATATCAAGACACTGGTCCAGAGGCACCTGTCCCAGACTCCTGATGTGGCAGCTTTCTCCTGCTTCCTCATGTAAGTGCCACCTGTGGCTGGAAGCGCTTCCTGAGGCTCCAGAACCATGAATGTGAGGTGGACAAGGAAGGTGCTGAAGGTTATGGGACCACTCCCGAGAGCCACACTCTGAGGGACAGCAGTGTCATACCAGGGACCCTGAAGTCCTGGAAGCTAGGGTTTGGACTCAGGCTTTTGATTCCATTTGGTAGTTCCTCTCTTTAACTCTTTATCTTCTAGCAGGAACCTGGGTGTTTAGGGCCCACAGCACCTTGAAGCTGGGGGTGGAAAAGAGCACCAGACCTCAGAGAGACCTGTGCACGTGGCCCAACCCCACTGCTGTGGGGAACTCCCCTTAGGCCCGACAGGCATTACACCTGCACTGGGAACATCTTTGCTCTCTGCCCCTTCTGATCCTTGGCAGGCATTTGCACTGCTGCCCCAGTCATTAACCCCAGGTTCAAGTTCTTTCTGCGCATTTTGCCAGCCAGCTCAGCTACACACAGGACCAGGTAGACTAGATGACTGAAACCACAGACACTTTCTTTCATGGTTCTGGATGCTAGAGACCCAGACAGAGCCCAGAAGAACCAGTTCTGGTGAGGTATCCATGCCTGTCTCACGGGACCAAAAGAGAACCTGGGAGTCTCTTCCCCCTTCCCAGAAAAGCACTATATCCCATGCTGCTTCATGACCTAAGCCTGACTACCACCCAAGGTCCCATTTCTAATGACTTTACTTCTGTTTTGTGGTCCATCTTCCATGTGAGGATCCAAAACCCCATTCATTCTCCCTCCCCCAATTCAGTGATATGTGGAGAACTCAAATGGCAGCCAGGGAAACAGACCTAAATCTTTGTGTTCGTGGTTGCCACACGGTTAGGGGTTCCCGGAAGATGACTCTCCACTGGGACAAGAACAAAGATGTTCCTGGGCTGGGGCTGCTGGGACTGGAGTGCGAGCTGTTCATTAGACTGAGTGGTCCTAATGACTTACAGCCCAGTGCTTCGGTCCCTGGCCCGGAGGAAGCCCACCATGAACGTGGAGGAAGGCCTGTGGAGAGGTCTGCAGGAATGGCAGTGCACAAGCAACTATGACCGTATGATCTTCTTTGAGATGGCGGAAAAGTGAGTGTGGGAGTCTTAAAGGAGGCGCATGGGGGGCTGTTTAGACACGGATGGGTCTGGTGAGCCGGGAAGCTCGAGAAGGGCATGCGCTGTGGGTTCAGCTCAGCTAGATTGGGTTTGGTGAGTTGGTTTCCCACATCCGGCCAGGAGGATCGCCAAACACTCAGGCTCCTCCTTGGTAATCTTGCTGTCCAGGAGGTTGTTCTCACTTCCTGGAGTGCTGGGTCACCTGCCCCATGGCCTCAGCAGCTCTGGCCTCATTGGTTATGAGTCTGTCCCTGCCTTTCTGTTAAGGGTCAGCTGGGAGAAGCAGCACATTCCAGCCCCATGGAGTCTCCCCCAGCACTGTGGGGCGTACAAAGGGAGCTTTGCATGTTTTCACGCTGCTACCTGACAGTGCCCACTGCTTTGTGACAGCAGAGGCCAATTTTCTTCAGCTAACCCTCATGTATTGCACTGAGTGAGACTCAAGAGAGGGCACACAGGAAAAGGAAGCCCCTTAGGCATTCCGAGGACGTGTCTCTGGTCTTTCTGCCTTTGCTCCATATGATGCCCTCATGCACACAGAGCAACAAACAGTTCTCAGAGGGAGGCAGCCACACCTCTCAGCTTCCTTCTGCTTTCTCCTGACCTCTCATGGACCGTTATCTCCCAGGTCATTCCAGATCTCCCAGTTTCAGCTTCAGCATCTCTGAATCTGGCCCGAGATCCCTGATGTTCTCCTTCAGTCATCTCTGTGGCTATCTTGGCAGTTAGGTGTGCTGTGTGGCTTTAGACAAGGTTCAAGATAGGCATTAAAGAGGAGAGTCACATGAAAGCCATACTGGAGACACTTCAAACTGACTTGATTCCCTGCTACCAAGAGATATAGGATGCCCCAGAGTTGTGGTTATGCCCCAAGATCAGACACTACACGGGACTGCACCAGACCATCCCAAGACCCTGTGCGCACAATCCCCTTTAGTAATCTCCTGTGCTGGGCCCTGGCCTCCCTCATCCCTAGGTTCACAGAATTTGAGAATGCAGAAGAGATGGAGAATTCGAGGCTGGAGATGGTGAGAGGTGTTCAGGGCCAAGTTCTTACAACCACAGCAAGGCAAGATCCTCCAAAGCCCCCAGCTCCTGAGGTGGTTGAGGAACCAGGTAGGGCTCACATACCCTTAGGTCTCTTATGCAGAGGCCAAGTCAGTCAAAATAGACTTCTGTCCCACATGTAGGCTTCTCCCTTCAGGATGGTGCATTTCCTATGGACCTGTGGTCCCTTGCAGCCCTTCATCTTGAACTGGGTGATCATTTAACTGGCAGTGATCATTGCCACTCTCTGCCCCCAAGACCCAAACACAATGTAATCAGGACCTGGGCACTGACTTTGGAGAATACCTGAAATCACATGACTGTGCTAGACATGCCGCCTCTCCCAAAGGTCCCTCTCACAGATCTTTAGAGAAGACTGGTTTGGCTCAGCCTACGCTGTTGTAGTTCCCCTGAACTGTCCTGTAGGGTGTGGCTGGGTGGAACTAGACCCCATCCATCATCATCCTTTCCTACCTCTTAGCGTGCACCTCCATGGAGACTGTCCCCAAGACTGACCCTGCCCACTTCCCAGCTCTCAGACGCCAGAAGAATGAGACGGCCATGGAGATTCCATCTGAAGCTGTGCAGGAGTACATGGATATCATGGACTGGCTGGACCGGCTTCCGCAGTCATTCACAGGAGAGCCCGAGGAAAAGGAGGACGAGGAGGACATTGGGCTGGAGCAGGAAGATGACTTGTACACAGACACGGGACTCCTGAGCTACATTGATGAACTCTGCTCCCAGAAACACTTTGTTGAACAAGTGAGCTGCGTCTGGAACTCTGGTGTGGGCCAGATTCTGCGTGTGGTATCCCACTCCTTGTAACTAAATCTGCTTCATTCCTTGCAGAGCTCTCTCTTCCTCTTCCTCTTCTTCTTCCTCTGCCTCTACCTCCCCAGCCCCCCTCGTGTGTGTGTGTGTGTGTGTGTGTGTGTGTGTATGTGTTGGTTGTTATCATGACTTGTCAACAACATAGGACCAGACAGGCTCCCCCTTGGCTTGGATGGTCCCTGATCCTTTCCTTGGATGGTCCTCAAGTCCTTTCCTTCTGTTTATAGGTGGAGGCCATAATAAACCCCCAGTTTGTGGCAGAAATCCTATCTCCCAAACCAGAGATGGACATACCAACTCTAACCAAAGAGCTGGAGTATGAGGAAAAACTCACTGTTGACCAGGTAGACAGGGAAGGTGAACACCAGGGACAATGGGGATAGAGCAAGAGGTGGACAAGAGACAACCAAACACTAGATACACAGGAGACAGAGAGACACTGGGTAAGCTGAACCAGCAAGGAAAAGCCCTGACTGGAGCGAGTGCTGAAGGGTAGCAGGTGGACAGGGAAAAGAGTAGACTCTGCTCGTAAGATCCATCTGACCTTGACTCACCCCAGCCTGTGGGGAGTCAAGGCATCCTGCCTTGGGCTTCATGCGGAAGGGGATGAAGGTATGGATAAGAAGGGAGTAGGGTGAAGCGCACCACCACAGGGAACCAGGCACCGTCAGCTAGTGGAGTCGGTCTCTGACACTCACAGAGTTGACTCTTCCCTGGGCTGCCTTCACTTAATGCTTTGCCCCTCTGGTCCTTCCCGGGATGTGCCGGCCCTTATGTGCCCATTTCCTCCTGCAGCTGCTGAAGAAGCATTGTGTGGCTTTGAAGAAGGGAGGCGAGAGGGCACCTCTGAACCCCGGTGCCCCCCAGATACCTGCCAGTGCTTCCATACTGACTGTCTGCCAAGGTGCAGAGACACGTGACAATGCTCCCCAAAGAGGATGCAGTGCACAGACTGGCTCCTCACGAATGGCTTCCTTAGACCAGCAGTGTCCTGGAGCCACCAATGCAGAAATATGGGGACCTAAGCTTGCCACTGTCCTCCTAGGTAGCCGAGCTTCGCCCTCACTGGCAGACATCGGAGCCACTGTTATTCCTCGTGGCAGAGGAACCCACTCCCAAAGCGCGGGGTACAGATGTGCAGGGAGCCTCAGAGGCACATCTGGTACTGAGGAGCCCTACGAACCACTGGGCAGAACCATTGAGGACAAGGAGGAGTTTCCCAGCCTGTCCTTCCTCCTGTCTTCCCAGTGCAGGCTGGTGCCATGGAAACTATCTCGCCACTTGTGCCCCTATGCAGATCTCTCTGACTCTGATAGTATCCCCAAACCATCTGCAAAAATAAGGGGCTTCAGTCCTGATCCATCTCCGTTAGCCAAGTCTAAGAAGCGAGCCTTCATTGGAGGCTTGGCTCCTGTGGCTAAGAGGCCTAACTTGGGGCCTGGTCATGGGGTCTCTGAAAGGCCACTCTCAGTTCTGGAGCTGGCTCATCTCTCGCAGCCTCAGAAGGGGAAGCATGAGACACTAGGTACACGGAAGAGGAAGAGGAAGAAAAGGCATTGAGCAGCCTGTGTGATGTCCCCTCAAAGTGGGCATAGATCTCACCCTGCCTCTATCCCATACCCCCAGAATGAAAACAAAAAGCAAACCAGGTCCTGCTCACTCAGGACTGACCCAGCTGGTGCTAAGGGGAGGATCTGGAAGGTTGGAGACACTGGGAAATAAAGACAGCATGAGGGTTGGGGCAAGCAGTGAGAGGGCGCTATCACTTTAGGAGTCTGTAAGTTACCATGAATAAAAGTGGTTTCATTGAAAATAGTGTGAGGGCTGTGACTTTCATTCTCACACCTCTGCCGCTATGAGGAATGAGGAGATATTGAGGGGGAAATTTGGACATGCCGTGCTCTGAGGTGCTCTGGATTTACTCATCTTGGGAGAATGCAGACTGATTGCAGGCTCCTGGAATCCTAGTCCTCACCTGGTTACAGGGACTTAGACGTGGGTGAAAAGGCTAATCCAGTTCTCAGCTAGCCGGGGACTTCTTGAGTAGGTGGTTCAAGGGAAAGCCCCAGCATTTAGAGAAAGGGGCCAATGGGCAGCCGAGGATGTTCAGTTGACACCTTGAGCCAGCGCCCATTTAACAGTCGGCAGATGCCGTGTTTCCTGACAGTGACAGAAGAAGCGTTTTTGTGTACTCTGTTTTGTAGCTCCTCTTAGTTTTTCTTCACTGGGGACGAGACACAGGGCCTCTATGCCAGGCAAACATTCCACCTCCAAACCATCTCCGCAGCCTCCTTTACTTTTTGACACTGTCTTCCTAAGCTGTGCAAGTTGGCCTTGAGCTCACCCTGCAGCCAAGCACAGCTCTGGAGATGTCACCACCACCTTGTAGCTGAGCTTACAGGCCTGTGACCTCGGGCTCAGAATGAAGCTTCACAAGCATTCTAGCGCACAGTTGAGGGAAGGTCCTCAGACCTACGTGCACTAGGAGGACTGGTGAGGGGCTCTTGTCTGAAGGCTCTTGGCCAGGCTGCCCCGTTATGGCCAACTGGCTAAAACATCAGCTAGCCTGGTTGTATCCGCATGTAAGCCTTGACTATTACTAAGGACTGACTTACATGGGTCTCAGAGGAGGCTCAGGGCAGGAGAGGACTTGGGTTAGACGTAGGTATCAGGCTAGTTTGTGGGGTTTGCTTAAGCTATGACCTCACAGCAGGTGCTTTTTGTGTAAACCTCTGCCCTTTGACCTCATTTATTAAACTTAATGAATTATGATGCTTAAGTCAGCACTCTCTAGTGGTTCATTTCTGATCCTCATCTTCGTCCTCTCCACCCTTCATGCTATAGTCCTTCCTTGGTGTGTTCTTCGTCCAATTTACCCCAACAAGCTCTTGCACATGTATTGAATGAGTTTCAAAAAGCACATGAGGATGAATCCCCTGTCACTGAACAGCAGTGAAGTCTTCCACATGAGGACAGGAATAAAATTCCTGGTAAGTATAAGCAGGAGGAGCCATATTAATTGCTCTCTCCTTGTAGTCCATTGGTGCGACACCGATTGAAGGTTCTCCATAATGTGCTGAAGGAGAACCCCAACGGTAGAAGGCATTCAAGCCAAGTGTTTCAGATGCCCTTCTATCCCTGTGATAAACAGCACCACCAAAAGCAATGTGGGAGGGAAACGGCTTATTTCATCTTACAGCTTAGCTCATCACACAAAAAAAGCCAGGGCGCAAACTCGAGACAGAAAGCTGGAGGCAGGAACTGAAGCACGGGATACAGAGGAATGCTGCTTCCTGCTTTGCTCCTCGTTGTGAGCTCAGTCGGCCTTTCCACATCTATCATTAATCAAGAACGTGTCCCATAGACTAGCCCACGGGCCAATCTGATGGAGGCAAATTCTCAGCTGAGGTTCCTCTTGCCAGAAGACCCTTGGCTTGCATCAATCTGTCAAAACACCAACCGGTACAGCACATTACACGGAGTGTGGTGCTGTCATTTCAAGGATATGCCGGAACATCCTGTTTCTTTTCACCCTACTCTTTTGGCTGGGTACTGATACTAATTTTCTTGGATCCCTGAGTACTGTCTCAGAATTCACCATACACTGGGCAACCACAGAAGTCCTACTTTAGTCTCTGGGAATGCCTCCAGAAAACATCTGGGCATCTGGGTTCACGGGTTCAGGACATGGATCCCTCTATAAGTGCAAAGTAGAAAGACCCATTACCTATTTCTTGCCCAGTGATATTCTGAGAACATGCTGAGCACCAGTAAGCATTCACGTGCTGCTGCGTGCGCAATGGGTAAGCCTCAATATAGAAAGCCACTTTTGAGAAGAACATTCCAAGGCTGTTTGTGCATTTTCAAACACGTGTAAATTAAAGTGCATGCTTCTAAACAGTACATGAGTTAAAAGATAAACTCAAGGAAAATTAAAGATTAGAACTGAGTGAAACTGTAACTCACTGGTAAATCATTGGTAAGAGGTAGATAAGTGGTGGTTAGTGTCTTAGAAATAAAACGGAGATAACCTAGAACCCCTGCACAGCTCTAGCACATGGCAGCTCAGTGTCTAAGTGGGATCCCTAGTAAGGGGAATAGGGACTGTCTCTGACATGAACGGAGTAGCTGGCTCTTCACCCTACACCCCAAGGCTGCTGGCCTCGGGCTGTGAGACTCCCCAAAGCTGCCCTCTGACTGCTACATGCACACCTTGGAACACACATCCCCAACATGGATAAATAATGTAATTTTCAGAATAGCCAATGTGGACAAAAGACAGATACATAAAACTCTAAAGCTTTCAAAAGAAAATGCAGAAAAATCTTCCTGATTCAGAGTCACTGCCTCAGCCTTGGCAGCAGGAACATGATGTGGAGGATGGAGATGTGGGTGACTGGACCAAAATCCGAAGCTCTCGCGGAACAGAAGCCTCTGTTCAGGACCGTGCAAGGGTGTGTATGCATGCCATGCACAGAGCCCATTCAGAGTTTCCCCATTTGTGTTTGTGCACGACATATGGGATCTTGCGGACACCACAGTCAAGATGTGGGACCCTCGCATCCACAGGAAGATACCTGGTGTGACTTTTCACAGTGTCACCTGACCCAGGCAGCCACACATCTGTTTTCCATATATACATGTGTGTATGTATATAATGTATATATACATGTATACTTATGTATGTATATGTGTACATATATGTGTGTACATTTGTGTGTATATATATCTGTATGTACATGTGTGTATGTATATATATACATGTGCATGTACATGTGTATATGTGTGACATGTGTGTGCATGTGTGTGTATGCATGTGTATGCTCATGTGTGGATGTGGATGTGTGTGTACGTGTTTATATGTGAATATATATGTGTGTGTGTGTGTGT